TGACAGAAATCGAATTCAAAATATGAATGGCAAATAAGATGATTGCAATTGAAGAGAAAGTTAAAAAACAACAAAAAGCAGCCAAAAAAGTATTTCAGGAAATCAGTTAAATCAGTGGAGAAAAAAGTCACTAGAGAGCTAGACAGGATAAGAAAGAATATAAGAGCACTTAAAGAAATAAAAGAGTCATTCAGGAAATTTCAAAATGCATTTGAAAGCTTTAACAACAGGCTAAACCAAGGAGATGAAAGAGTCTCAGAACTTGAAGACAAGCTTCTCAAGATAATACACTCATTTAAAGAGCAGAGAAGAGTATTAACTAGTCTGAGGAATCACTGAGAAAGATATGGGACTATGTGAGTATACTAACATTCGAATTATAGATATTCCTGAGGTTAAAGAGCTAACAGCATGGATAAACTTATTTGAGGAAATTATTTCCCAAGCATCATCAGAAACTCAGACATACAGACAGATGGAAGATGGACATGAAACACTGGAAAGATACATAGCAACTAGGTCATTTACAGGACACGTAGTAATCAACCCCTGACATTTTAACACAGAGAATTTAGAATGTCTAAATTAATCAATATCCTTCCTGTCTTTCTTAACAATACCAAGACATCAGGATGCTCTATCTCTGCTCTCCTTCTCCTGGCTCACTTAGGGTTGCCATCCAGAGAGCTCTGTCTTCCTTAAACCCCCAGGTTAGATGTTTTTGCAGGATGTCCTTTGGAAAGAGCCTCTTGCTGGCAAATATGCTCAGTTTTTGCTCATCTGAAAATGGCTTCATTATTTTAAAGAGTTTCCTGGGTGTAAAATTCTAAGATGGCAATAATTTCCTCTCATAGTCTCACTTTCATTGTGCCATAGAAGAGTCAGCGTCCATTTTTTCTTCCTTCACGGATAATGTTTTCTCAGGCTCATTTTATGTGACATTGTCTTTTGTGTTCTGCAATTTCACTCTGACATGTTTATGTGTTAATTTCCTTTTATTTCTCCCACTGAGGATTCATTGGGATTCCTGAATCTGGAAATCGGTATGCACATGAGAAAAAGGTGTGATACTTTCCCTCATCCATCATAAGGTCACTCATGGCTGATGCTCCTATAACAAAAGACAGGTCAATAAGAGAAAAACATAACAAATGTATTTATCAAAGTTTTACATGACGTGGGAGCATTCAGGAATGAAGACGCTAAGACCCCAGGAAAACTGTCTATTTTTATGCTTAGGTTTGAGGAAGAATAGACAGTCACGTAGAAATGTGGGTGGACAAAGGGGTATAATGTAATGGGAATAGACTGAGGGAGAAAAGCCAGCAGGGTCTGTCTGTTCAGATTCTTCTTGGCCTGTCTGTAGCATTCCTTCCTCCCAGTATGAGGTAGGACCCCTCTGGAATGAGTTCTGGTGTCTATGACTCACTTATAGGGGATAATGAGGGCCAGAGGCAAGAGGGCGGGAAAAGGTTAGAGAGAAACTGAAACACTCCTTTCTTTTTGAAAGAAACATATCTAAAGCAAATATGATAAAATATTAATATCTTTTAAATTTTGTGCTAAGTATGAATATGTCTGCATTATTTTCTGTGCACTTCTAAATGTCTAAAACATTTTATTTTTTTTAAAGCAAAAGGACAAAATGAATGAATGCGAAAATTACCAAAATGTTTTGAAGAGACCATTTAAGAATAGGAATTTGACATACTATATGTATTTTAAAAGAAATATAATACAAACTTATAAATATGTGTTATTGCCACAGGAAAATTGAAAGTTAATCAGGGTTACAGAACATACAGTACTCCAAAAACTAGTTCAAGTATTGACTGGGTTGTAAATTCCAGGACAGGAGTGTTTATCTGTTTTGTTCCCCCTGAATTGCCAACACCCAAATAGAGCCCAGCACATAGTAGGTTATCAATAAATATTTGTTTAAAGAGTGAATCTTCTTTAACCATGCTCATCTGATATAGTATTTCAATTCTATGAAAAAATGTTAAATTAACTGTTCAGTAAATAGGATTGGAACAATTGGATATTTATATGACAGAAAAAAAATAATTTTTGTCTAACCCCATATACAATAAAAATCCAGGTTGAATAAAGATATAAAGATAAAATGAAAGTACAAAAGCATTTCTTAACAGTAATGAAGACTTACTCTGGCTATAATATGACTGGAAAGAATACAAATCAAAATTGCTGAAGAGAATGAGAACTATACAGTCTTTTTGTAATATATTCTGACATTGTCTACTAAAAATACAAAGGTATTTGGATGCAACAGTACTAATCTGGTTATTCTATTCATGAAAATAATATACATCAAAACTTAAACATAAATATATAAGCACTTTTAGTTATAACAGAAAATAAATACATAAGAAATAGCAGAGAAGTATATATATATTGCATGATCTTATATATTGGTATGTAAATTAACAGGCAAGCAAAAATTTTTGGAAGGGCATAACAAGCTATCAATAGATACAAGAGTAGTTTTTATGGGGGTAAATTGGGGCAAAATAGAAAAATATGTCTGACACAATGTAATATGTACAACATAAAATTATTGATACTATTTCTCTAAAATTATAAAAAATGAATTTGTTTATGGTCAAAGATTAGAAAGTAACATGGACCAGAAACAACTTGATTTTATTAGAAGATAGGACTGGGACACTTTTTTTTTTTTTAGATTTTTAATGTTATTTGAATACTTATTTTCAATAAAGTAACTTTAAATAAGAATAAAATACTACAAGGAGAAGTTTTATAAACCAGGTGGGGATAAACATTCCTAATGAATTCAAGGAAGCTAGAATATTTAAAGAAAAGTGTTGATAATTTAGCATGATAAAAATGTAAAACTTTTGCATGGTAAGACACTATAATCAAAATCAAAACACAATTACAATACAATGATAGAGTAGGAAAAATATTTCCAACATTTATGACAGGAAAGAATTAATATCTCTAATATTTTAAAAGCATCTACAAATTAAGTAAAAATAAAAGGCAACCTGCTAGAATGAATGTACTGCATATATGAACCAGCAAGTAACAGAAGAGAAAGTGCAAATGGCCAATAAACATACAAAAAGATAGACACCTTCTTTATTAATCAAGGAGACAACAGTAATTTCTCTGCCTCTCTAATTGGCAAAACTTTCAAAAAATGGAAGGGACTAAAACTGATATAGGAAAGTTGACACATTTACAAACAGTTCATAAAAATGTAACAGATGGTGAAGCCCCCAAATCTGCACATCAATTTTTCTTAAATTGTTAAGTCCTCTATATTCCATGGGTCTGTTTTATGGTTTCATAGACTATCTATTCTCTGGTCAACTTTTCTATCCCTGCACAAATATGACACATTCTTAATCACAATCAGTTTATTATTGATATGTGATAGAATAATTCGTCTCTCCAATACATTATTGATTAAAGAGGTAATAATAGTGAGCATCCTAATCATATTCTTGATTTTCAATTATTTTAATGTTTCCTTATTTAGAATAATAATTTTTAAGTTTTTGTGTTTTGGTTTTAATTTTTATTTATAATTGTATGGATACATAATGGTTGTACATATTTGAAAGATACATTATATCAGGTTAAATAAGTTTATTTTATTTCTATCTTTCTAGCTTTTTGTGTTCAATTTCAGAATATTACAGGGATACACACACTTTGGTTACATAATTTGCTTTTGTACAGTTTGAGTCAAAGGTATAAGTGCACCTTTCACCCAGATAGTGTGTATTGTACCCATTAGGTGTGAATATTCCCATGCCTCCTCCTCCATCCCACCTAATTGATTTCCACCGAGTTTTACTTCCATATGTGCCCATGTGTGTTGATCGATTAATTCTGATATAGCATTGAGGACATGCGGTATGATCATGAAATCGCATTTCTCAGATACACTGCTTCAGGAAGTGAGAATGACTGATCACTCCTGCTGATGCACTCTGAAAACAATTATTACCACATTTGTGCTGGTGCAAATGTGTGCAGGGGTTGCGGCCTGGCAGCTGCAGAAACCAGTCAGGGTTCCCCACACAGGCCAGATTGGGGATTGAATAACAGGTTAGGAGATGCTGTGGGCTTCCACATCTGCACAGCCACAGCACTCTGCAATGAGCAACTCCATCCCTAGGCCTGGGCAGCGGGGGCCGGGTGCGGGGGAACTCCGCTCTGCAGTCTGCTGAAAGCAAGGCAGGAATCTTGCCATTGCTCCACTCAGGGTGAGGTCGCCACCTCTCCGCCAAAGCACGGGGCCCAGCGGCACAGAAGTGGTCGAGTGAGCAAGCAGGCTCAGAACACAGCGCAGAGGCCAGAGGACGGCTGCGGGGGGCGGGGACCAGGGGCGGGGCACTGGGGGCGGGGCGACGGCGCTGATTGGCTGTCCCCGCTGTGACCTCCCTGCAACGGGCTGTGCGGAGCGCCGGACTAGGCAGTTGGTCCCAGGGAAGAAGCGCTGCCTGCACGTGGGGTCCTCTCCCTGCCTGGACGTGGCTGCCTCAGCCCGCGCGCCCTGAGAATGTCTCGGGCGAGGCCTCCACACCAGGAAGATGAGGCAGTTGAGCTGGGCGCGTGACCTCCGCCGCCGCGGCCCCCGCGCTCGCCACAGCCTCGCGCCAAGCGAAGGACGCGGGGGTTTAACGCTCACGGCTCGCGGCCGCGTGTTCGTTGCGGGACCTCCCGCATTCTCCCGCACTTGCCCACCGCCGCGCACGTTTCCGCGGCGCTCCGGTGCTTCTCGCGTTCCCTCGAGTTCTCCTGTGGAGAGTTCGGATTGTTTTCTTCCTCATGGAAAGACCCCGCAGCCTCCCAGCCGCTTCCTTCAGCCGCGCGATCCGCAGCCGGCTCCTCCCTGCGGGGGGGGGCGCCGGGCTGGGCGGACCGGTTCCATCCGCGCTCGGCCTCGGTCCCGAGGTGGCCTGGGGCCACTGCCCTCGGCGGGCCGGCACAGAGGTCGTCAGGCCGCGGCGTCCGCCCCTGAGGGACAGCGCGCTGACGCAGGTGGGCGGCCGGGCGCGCCCGGGTCAGCCCCTCGCCCGGCCTGAGGCGCCGCCGCTCCGCGTAAATGGCGGGGTTCCCGCGCCCGGGCGGAGGTCCGCATGACTCCGGGTCTTGGGGGTGGTGGTCAGAGTTGGCGGTGCGGATTTTGGTTGGTGTTTCTAGCCCTGTACTTCTACCTCCCCAGACCCCAGCATAAGACATTCTCATATTTGGCCATTTTTTTCCTTGTGGTCGGGGTGACCCTTATAAAGCACTGCCTTTATCAATCATGTGATGGAATAGCGACACTGAGGCAGCTAGTTAGTTTTATATGGTTCCTAGTGGAACAACATCCACTTTCCATGCCTGGCTGGCCTAGGCTCCCAGACAGTGGGTGAAACCTCTGGCCAGGATAAGGTGTATGAACTAAAATGCTCACCCCCCCCCCCCACGGGCTGACTGAACCCCCTCCTGGCTAAATGAATATCCTACAGCAAAATTTCCTGGCAGGAGGAGGGAGGTCAGACATGCCCCCCTCCCTTCTTGGAGACTTCCTTTGTAACCCATTAATAGGCCTAAGCGTTTGCAAGACAAACCTGCAGGTCCTCAATTTATGGAACAAATGATGGCAACAAATGGTGGCTTATCTCTGGTAAACAGTTTCTGTTAAAACATTCCAAGCCTTTAGACAAAGCTTCATGTCTTTAGCCAATTACAATCTGAAGAATCTTTAAACTCACCTATAACCTGTAAGCCCCCTCCCCCCCTTCCAGATGCCCACCTTTTGGGGCCAAACCAATGTATGCCTGCCACGTATTGGCTTTACCCCTAACCCCTGTCTCTAAAACGTATAAAAACCAAACTATAACCCACCCACTGAGGAGTTCACTTGCCCAGGGCCTCTTGGCAGTAGCTCCAGGTCATGGTCCTCAAATTTGGCTCAGAATAAATCTCTTTAAAATTATTTTGCAGAGTTTGGCTTTTTTTCCATTGACAGGTGAGAGGCTATACCAGGAAGAATGACTTTGGTGAGTAGGGCTAAACTCCCCTCATGGCTGTTTGTGACTATAGTGTCAGTTTACTCAAGTATCTCTAGTGGCTGTTTTTAGAGTTGTTAATTATGTAAGATTGAATTTAGAGATTAATTATCTGGATAATTCAAGTTGAATAAAACCTCAGATTTTGAGGTTGAATAAAACTACAGATTTTATTTAGGTCATTAGAAACAGAGTACCTGAATTATGTTTATATTACCTGGGGGGGGGGGAGAAAACTCTATATTTTTAAGTTATAGCAAAAAAAAAAAATTCTATTTAGAAGGAGGGATTCCAAGATATGTGAACACTTAAATTTAAAACAAATGTAAAAGTTCATTAATTGTTTATGTGAGAACTTTGCTTTAACTGTTTTTTCCTCTCTTTTACTTGTCTTTCTTTGAGGGCCAGTTTGGGACCTCTCCTGCCTATGAAATAGAGTAGTGCCTGCTCTGATGACACTTTGGGGTATAAATAGGAGAATCTATCTTCAGCCTTGAGCATAGGGCTGGACACATAGTCAGCAACAATGGTTATGATAGTGTTCTTCCCAAATACTCTGATCAAAATTTAACCTCTTTATTCTCTAACCATAAAAAAAAAATGACTGCATATGGTACTTTTTAACACTTACTATCCTATTTTTTAAAATTTTTCTGTTTTAGATGTTATACTTTTATCTGCATAATGAAATTGTAGGCTCTTTGATAGGCTAAAATGGGTGATATAAAACTTGTTGAATTGGATTGAAAATCAACTTTTATTTCCTTTACAAACCACATGGTCTTCATTTATTTATTTTTTCTCAACAGAAAATTAAAGCATTAGTTGAAAGGAGGAGTGTTCCGTCTCTTCTCCACAGAGCTCTGCAAGAACAGCCTAGAACCAGCATGTAAGTGCAAAGCTTTGTACTACACTTCTGCTATGTGCTTGGAACATTATAGTAGACAAAGAGTTTTTCAGATCACGTTTTTTATGTGTGGGTGTTTTTGTTTGTTTTCCTTTAGCACCAGCATTCTCTGTTTAATCATAGATAACCTGACTGATGTCCTGAGGTTATTTAATAAGACCTCTTCTTTGTGGGAATCATACTGCCTTTTAGAGCTGGCGTGTAAGCTTGGTTGGTTTAAAACTGATTCAATAGTGAATCTCACATCACATAGTACACAAATATGCAGGTTCCACATTTTATCAAAGTGTATTTGTAGAAACAAATAGAAATCAGAATACTGAAAAATGAATGTTGTTTTACATAAAATATTGCTTATTTTTTATCATACGGTGATGCCTGTGCATGAATAAGGTCATTTTTTCCACCAATTTTAGATATCAAGGAAGATAACCAGATTGAGATTATAAAAAATGGAATATTGGTTTCTTTTGAATATTATTGGTTAAATCAGTGAAATTCAAAGTGGGAAATGAAGCTAAATATGTAATAAAGTGGCCATCTTACCTATTGTGGCCGATTACTGTTTCAGTGGACATTTTAAGGGTCTTTCATAATATGTAGAAATTTAATGGATATTCAATTATTAATTTATTGATTCATTTTGAAATGGCATTTTTTACTCATAGCATTTTTTGTGTTCAAATGAATCTTGTGATGACTTTCTTCTCAGTTGGGAATCCTTTTATGTAAAGTGAAGTCTTCATCTTTATTTAAAGTGAGGGTATACTTGCAGCTATGATATTTTTGTGAATGATGTGCTAATTTAACATAAAATCTATATGAAGGTATTGAAGATTTTTAGTGCCACCATAGATTCTATATTCAAATCCCATTGAATGAAACTTATCAAAATGCTTAGGTCACTTTCTTCCCAGTGCTCAACAAGTCCTCTTAGATTTAGTACTCTTTCTGATCTGTCCCCAGGAGATATATGCTTTAGTCATTGGGTTGATTAGGAAATGTAAACTCCTTTTAATTGGTGCCTAATGAAAATTTAATTAGGAAGATATTTTCTTAGCAGTTTTTGTAGAGAGGTTACAGAAATTAAATACTATGAAAAAAATCAATGAATTAAACTTCATGAAATTTTAAAGCTTTTGTCAAAAACACAGTGAAGAAAGCATACCAGGCAAGCAACAGACTGGGAGCAAATATTTCCCCAAACACATACCTGACAGAGCACTGTATACCAGCACAACGTGCCCAGGATTCATAAAAAATTCCTATAACACAGTAGATAATGTGCATAATAACACACAACTCATCTTTGTAAAGCTAATGAGCAAAAGATTTGAAGACATTTTACCAATGAAAATGCACAAATGGACAGTAAGAACATGACAGAAATTAGCACTCGGAGAACCACAAGTTAAAATCTTAATGAGAGGCCACTATATGTCTCTAGACTGCCTAGAATTCAAAAGACTGACAGCAACAAGTGTTTTTAAGGTTGTGGAACAACTGAGACTCTCCTACTGTGTTGTAGGGAATGTAGAAGGATACAGCCACTTTGGAAAACTAACTAGAAGGTTTATTTTTTTTTCTAAAATTAAACATAACTGTATTCTGTGACCTAGCAATTCCACTCTGGGATATTTACCCCAAGAGAAATGAAAACATAGGTCACAAAAAGACTAGTACAATGTTTAATAGCAGTTAAAACTGGAAACATCCCAGGTGTCCATCAGTAAGAGAATAGATTAACTCCGATATATTTATACATTGAATACTATTCAGTAATATAAAGGAATGGATTATTGGTAAATGAATTCCAAAAACATACTGAGTAAAAGCTATCTTACACAAAATAGTACATACTGTAGTTCCAGTTATATAAAATTCTGGAACAGGCACAATCTTCACCATCCCTCAGTCATAAAGATAGTTTCCTATGTGTTCTATTAAAATACTGATGATTTTGGTTCTTATATGTAAGTCGATGATCTATCTCAAATTACTTTTGGATTATAGTATAAGGTAGAGGCTGAGATTCATTTTGTTTTTTGAGATGGGAAAACCTTCAGTGGGAAAGAAATCAGAATAGTGGTTTCCTCCAGGATGTTAGAGTGGGGACTGACTGGTATAAGGAGTGTGAGGGATTCGGGCACTGATCAAGCAAAAAGGAGATGATGATGGCACAAGGTTGCATGAGAAATGAAGTCCCTCAGCACACAAGACTTTCCAAGAGGCTTAAGATGAGGGCCCACCATCTAACAGGGGAAGAGGGCAAGAGAATTCTGGAAGATAGGAGAATCAGAGACAATGTCTCTGGAGATTACATGTCCAGGTGATGTTGCTCAGTAGTGAGGAATGTCTGAGTCAGAGAGCGGTAAGGGGCAGTAGCAGCTTGGGGTCTCATAACCACAGGTTCTCTCTTATCAGTGGCCAGCAGATGCTGGATCTAGTTTTATGGAATATGCAAAGCAGGCAGGCTGTTAGTGGCTAAAAATCTTCTTGTGTGGGCTATTTTTCAAATGATTGGGTATGTAAAAATTTGAGTTTGGCACCAGTGAGCTTTTGAACTAACAGATATCAGCCTGTGATGAAGAAATAACTCAGGAGTCAATCCATAGAAACTGTTTCCTTAATTTAGATAATAACCAGAAGGGAGAATTTTTTTGAGTGATGATAATTTCCTATATCTTGATAGGGGCTTAGATTACACAGGGGGAATACATTTGTCAAAAGTTAGTGAATATGATGCTTTAAAAAGGGCTTTATAAAAAAAAAAGGTCAGTGAATCTACACCTAAGATTTTTGTATTTGTGTATTTTGTGTATAAATTTTATATCAAGAGAAAAATATGAATATTGAACTCTAGTTAATGACATGCATGCTGAAGTATTTGGGGGAAGGGTATGTACTGCTTTATGTAGTTTACGCTGAAATGCCAGAAACAAAATAGATTGATAAATAGACCATGTATGGTGGCCATGCCTGTAACCCCAGGCATTTGGGAGGCCAAGGCAGGAGGATATCATGAAGCCAGGAGTTCAAGACCAGTCTGGTTAGCATAACAAGACCCTATCTCTACAAAAAAAGTTTTAGAAATAGCTCTGTGTGATGGCACATGCTTGTAGTCCCAGCTATTTGGGTGGCTGAGGCAGGAGGATCACTTGATCCCAGGAATTGGAGGATACTGTGCTATGATCACACCATTGTACTTCACCCTGAGTGACAGAGCAAGACCCTATTTCTAAATAAATAAATGAATGAATGAATGAATCAATAAATAGAAGGATAGATAGTTGGATACATATATAATAAAGCAGACACAGTAAAATATTAATGGTAAAATCTATGTGGAGGTATACATACATGTGTTTAACATAAAATTATTTCAACTTTGCTTTATGTTTCAAAATGTTTCATAATGAGATGTTGAAGACTACTGTGTGGAGAATATACTGGGGGACCAGTTAGGACACTGTCATTGCATTAAAAAGTTACAGTTTTATATTTCTTGACCAACTTTAAGTTATAATTTTATAAAAACTTGGTGGTATATTTGATCATTTGACTGATGATTGTGGACTTGATCCGTTACAGGGAAAGACCTTCTGCTGCCATGAACACCTGTGCATTTCTGATGGCATTTGCCTGCTCCAATAGGACTCTGCTGATTGACAGCCTAGTGGAGCTCACAAGAGGCCTGCAGAGGCAGGAGCAGCATCTTTTTCTCTTCAATGATCTGCTTGTTGTGGCCAAAAGCAAGTAAGTGAACTGTACAGTCTCTCCTGGTTATCACTAAAAAATTGCATTTCCACTAACAAAGATACCCTTTCAATGGTTATTGTAAGGGTTATTACAATAACTCAATGGTTATTGTAAGAATGTCTGGCCTCTGTTGGTATACTCAATATCTGAAGTGAGTTTTATGTTTGTTTCTTTTTTTGCAAAATAAATTTTCCATTTTTTGTTCATACAACAAAATGTTCATTTAGGTCATGTGCCATGCCTTGAATAAATGTAGGAAATATAATGAACGATGTGATGGGGATAGTTCTTGCTCTTGGGTAGATTACATTCTAATATGGGAGCTTACCTTCGTGTGTAGGGGAGAATAAGACAGATTGTGATTAGTGCTATGTTGGGTGAAGTAAAAGATGGGGTGGTGGGTGAAGTAAAAGATGGGGTATGTGTTAGGTAGGTGTAGTCAGGGGATAAATCATTGAAGGATGAAAAGCAACCAGCCATTTAGATAGATGTCAGGACCATCGAGTGTTCTAGGTCGAGACAACAGGTACAAAGGTGGTGGGGAAAGCTTGGCCCTTAGAGGAGTTCAAGGAAGGCCTGTGTAACTGGAGCCTAATGAGCAAAGGAGAGTGATAGGAATTATGATTGGTGAAGTACACAAAGGTTAGGTCATCAGGACCTTGTCGACCTTATTAATTATCTATTGCTGTGTAACAAATCACCCCCAAAACATAACAGCTTAAAACTGTAAATGTCTATATTTTCTCTGAGTGAGGAGTCTGGGAGTGTTTCACTGGATGGTTCTGGCTCACGATCCTTCTTGAGGGCTCTGTAGCTTGTTGGGCAGGGTACCAATTATCTCAGGGCTCAACTGGAACCCAAGAAACCACTTCCAAGCTCACTCATGTGGGTGCTGGCAGCTGTAATTCCTCATGGCTGTTCTCCAAAGGCTTCCTTTCCACGTGGGTCTCTCCATAGGGCTGCTTGTATGGCAGTTGCTTCCTTCGGAGTGAAAGATCCCAACAGAGTCAGAGAGAGTAGGCCATTGAAATAGCACCCAAAATAGAAACCACAGTATTTTATAACCTGATTTTGGAAGTAGTGTACCATCATTTCTGATGTATGTGATTGGCCACACAGGGCAACCTTGGCACAGCATGGAAGGGAACTATGCACGGGTATGAATATCAGGAACTAAGGATCATGGGGACCATCTTGGAGGCTTAGTACCACAAAGGCTATCATAAACCCCTCGGATTTTATTCTGAAGGGTTTTAATTGGGGGAGTGGTAGAGTGTGATTCTTTTTTTGAAAAAATACAATTCTGGCTCATGCTAGTTAGATAATGCACTGGAAGGAAGGCAAGAGTAAAGTTAAGGAGACTAGATAGTAAGTTGTTAGTGGTCCTGATGGAGATAGTGAGGGCTCTATCTGAGGAAATGACAGGTAAGAGGAAGATAGAGACTTATCTGGAACGTACTTTAGAGGTACCCAAAAGGATTCACTTGCTGCTCAACACTAAATACCAGTACACTTAATACTCAGCCTAGAACATGGCTGCTGCTGCTGGCTCTGTTTCCCATTGTCCTTATGTATGAAACATCAGGAATGATAAAAGTATTTTAACAAATCCAATCTCATGAAGGAGATTTTTAGTCACTAGAGAAAACACTTTTTTCTGTTACCCACACTCACACACCTAAGTTACTCAGTGGCATAAAGAAGGCATGGGCAAGGGTAAATAATTTTCCAAAACACTGTATTTAATGTGAGTTGTATTCCTAACAAGAGAAACCAACTTTTTTGGGAGATGTTACTATATTTTAGTTATTCTTCTAAAGACTTTAACCCTTATAACTATTCTATGAGGTGAGTACTTATTTTCCTCATTTTAGAAAAGAAATTGGTATTTTTCTCACTATTGCACTTGTCCAGTCTAAGAAAAAAAAGAAAAGAAATTGATACTGAGAGAAATTACGTGACTTCCTCAAGGTCACAGAGTAACTAGCTGAACCTACCTTTGAACCTAGATCTACCTTATTTCAAAATCTATTCTTTTAACCAATATGTGGTCTGCTGCCTCTATTACTGAACTCTTTTTTAATGGATTTCATTTTCGCTGTTAAATGAGCGTTTTCCTTGTGATGAGTAAAAGGTTCCAACTAAATACTCATTTAGGAAGAAATGGTATAGAAGGTTTAGTGAACTTTTCAAGTTAAAGGCAACATAAAGATAATGAAACAGTTCCACAATATTTTCAATAGAAGTGATACTTACAAATGTAGTTTTGGCCCTGAATATGATGTTTGGAGTAATACAGTGAAAGAAAAGTGTTTTTTTTTTCCTTTTTGTTCTACTCCTTTGCAGTTGAACAAGTTCACATGAAGATCTAAGCAGTGAGTCTGTTACAAGAAGAACAAATCATTATTTTTTTTAAAAAAAATTTGTTCATTTAAAAATTACTTTATGGGTTATATTATGTATGCTAGGTATTATAATAGGAGAATCAGAAAGGTCTCATTTAATTTTCCTAGCATCCCCCCAAGATAAGAGTTGTTTTCGATGTTGAACACTGAGGCTCAAGGAGGTTTGTCATAGACTAGGAAATGGAAGAGCTGGGGCTTGGATATAGATTTCATTCCAAAGCCTGGCTGTCTTCCTTACCACATTGTACTCCTTAGGTGGAAAGCTTAGCCTGGAGGTAGATAAGCAGACAACAACCAATTTCCTGAAATTTAGGACCTTAAGGGTACTCACTTACAACATGCATTCAACTCTTAGGGAAGAAGATATTTTCCTTATGTTTTTGGAATTTTTTTTTCCTTAGCAGTTATTTAGAGAACCATTGTTTTTTTTTTTTTTACCTTAAATCATTTATTGTTCTGTATAGTGTTTATATCTAAGTAGTTTTTATGTAACCTATATTTTGCTAAAAACATTTTATATAAAGACAGTTGTATACCACTAGAAAATTGTTGTTTTTAGATATATTGGTAAAATTTGTGCTCATTGTCTACTTTTATAGCTTTTTATTTTAGTTGTCCCTCACATAGGGTTATACCATTTTATCCTAGATAACTCTGTTGTCCATTCTAATGTTTTTATTGAGTGACAAAGTTTATATCAATTGATGTAAATGGTGTTATTTATGACATTCAATTCATGGGAGACTATTTTAAATACTTTCTATATCCATTGGGGATATTTAAAAGTTTGTGTGACCTATGTTATTTTTTATGTTTTGGGCATAAACCCAAGAGCCTTAAGATAGAAAGAATGTAGATATTTGAAGAGATGATGATGATAATGATGATGAGTAAATCCTGCCACCTTACAAAAATTTAGAAAAATTTTTAGGAAATGTATTACATGATCATTCTCATAGCAAACATTCATATATATTCACAGATTCTTCTTAATATGAAAAAACTTATTTTTTTTTTCCAAAATGAACAGCAGCAACCAAAAAGAAATAGCCTCTGGCTATATCAAACGTATGTGTATACTCACCCTTGGATAAAAAATTGTGTGGTACCCTGGATCAATTAGACCAGTGCTTGGTCTTCATATTTAGCCATAGAGAAAAGGGAGACCTCAGTTCCATATTATGTCAGCTGATATTTAGGCTTCATTTGGAAACTGCTTTCAGTCCTTGGGTTGGGCCTACAGAAGTAGACTCAAGTGGGATAAATAATTGACAAGGTGTCACATATTTATTTAGGCAAACTAAAGGAATTTTAGTAAGCACAATAATCGAAAGGATGTTAAATGTACCTTTTTTTTGGTTAAATTTTTTTTTTTGTTCCCTTTTTTGTTGGTTTTTGCCATTTTTGTTGAAATTTTTTTTGATTTTTTTTTTTTTTTTTTCCATACTAAATTAGGAATGTATTAAAGGCAGATAGGGCCTTGGGATCTACTTTTGTATTCATTAGGGGTGATACTTTATTGATCTAGGAAAAGGATCATTGGAATGACTTTTTCCCCAGGTCAGTATATGTGGATGTTTGCATAAGATATCTGAAGTATCCGATATAGATAGAGATCTGCATTAGAAAACACAAAATGTCAAAGCAAACATGAAAGAGTACCTTTCCTTCCAAAAGATTTGTAGTCTTAGTTTTATATTACCTGAATAATTGGCATTATGAAATAAGAATCAGTCTGTAATTGAATCTGTTTCATAAAATAATATAATGATTTTTAGCAATAGGGTAAAAATATTAAAATAAAATACAGAAAGAAGCCATTTTGCCACAAGGTACTTTTCTATTATATATATAATATATATATATATATTTACACTTAAATTCAGTGCATCCCATGGGAAGCACAGATGAGTCTTTGAATCTAGGTTGTCCTTCATGCATATTTCCTGCAATATCTTTTCATCTTATAAATCCCACTTAAGAGTTTTAGCCTTACTATTCCATGAATCAGATAGTGTTAGGGATGCTTCCATACATGAGGTATCTTTGATTTTATTTTAGCTTTTCCACAAATGGTTCTGAATGGCAGGAAGGACCCAAGTTTCCCTGGGCGTTCTCTTTATCCTACTCAGTTTCTTCTGTTTAAATCTCAGCTCCATCTGAGCAATAAATTTGTCAATTAGCTCAAGAGATATGATGGTTTCCATACCAGGGTTCTTAGTAGGAAGAAACTGTCAAAAAGAAATTCTTAAAGTAGATCACCTTATGAGCCCCAGTGATTAACATTAATTGTGTCAAACCTATTCTCTTTTAGGTTATTTTTTAGGCTACAGTTCTTCAGTTTTAGCCAGAATATAAGGGAAAATGCTTGAACATAATCTTAAGAAAAGAAATTTAAAATAATCTATGCTTTTAAAGTCTAGAAAAGCTTATAGCCACTCAGTTGAAAATGTATTATAAATTCCTCTAATTAATTCTAGGTTTTTTCATCTCTCTTAAAGTGGAAATTTTATAAACATCTTAATAAATCATGTATACTTTTTTGCATTCTGCCACTCTAGTCCTGTCCTTTTGTAAATAAGCAAGTTATAAATAATAAATGAATTAATTTTTTGTGACAGCAGTAAGTCAAAAAGTAAGTTTTTGATCCAAATGTAGCGCTCAATGTATAGAAAAATAAAATGGCAGTTTATGGCTATTTGTTGCTATACATGCAGACATGAGGAGTAAATGCTTCACCAAATGTTATAAAGGCCTTCTTGGTCCAAGGTAGCCTACTGTGTTACAATTTACTGCCTCAGGCACTGAAGACAAAAGCAATGAACAGACATTGACAGAAGTACAGAATCTCCCATACAATTTAAGAAACAAACAAAATAACAAGAGGTCTTTTTTGATTTTTATCTTTCTAGGTACAACAATAAGTTTAAGTTGAAAAACAAGATTAAATTATCTGACATGTGGACAGCAAGCTGTGTCGATGAACTGGGAGATGGTAAGAGCAGTGCTATGAAATCCTTTGTCTTGGGCTGGCCCACTCAGAACTTTGTGGCCACTTTCAGGTAAGAACCACAGCTTGTCCTGTATTTACCTTGTTTAGCTACTTGGGTGATTTCTGGGATGAGGGAAAATTGTTAAGCAAATTTTGTTCCCCAAATTGTTAGAAGGAAAATAATTTATTCTGGTTGTTTCTGAAGTCAGTGACTCATCTTTTGACACATACTCTCAACCAAGATGCTCATGCACCTTATGTTTTTCCCAAAAACTTTTGGTTAAAACCTATGCAATTTAATGGTAACTGTTGGGAACTCTTGAAGTCATTTGCCTTGGTTTGACCAGTGAGTTTTAAAGGGGCTCTACTGAAACAACTGTGGGGATGAGAACTTCCAGGAATATAGAAGGGGAATAGACTGGTGGCCAGACCTTTAGGACTCCCTCTCCAATATCCCTTTTCCTAATGTGTATGGACTTATTTATTTTACATATTGAGGTTTTGAATCTTATCAGCCTTTTCAAACCACTGAAATAACCTTTATCAAAGCAAATTTTATAAAATAGTCCAAATAAGTTTGGATAAGTGGTTTATACTCCAAAGTTTTCTAAACAAGTAGTTTATCCTTATACAAATAAAACTAATGTCCTGCAATACTGGGTTGCTTGAATTATGTATCAGGTTTTGGTTTAGTATCTATAGAGATGTGACAATCAAGAGCAAACAATATTTTAAGGAGTAAACTTTGGTTTCCAAGAGTCACTTGTAGGTGAGGATGGGGTTGGAGAATGTATGAATAAAGAATTTTTGTCCTTTTATGCTGAACATGCTTAATTGGCACTTAAAGGTCAGGGAGAGCATAGCAAAGCTCACACCTGTGCTTTTGAACAAATGTACTCCAACTCTAGTATTTTTTTTTTATTCTTAAGGATTTAGATTCCATTACATGCACATGATGCTTTTCATTCTCTTCCCACCACCACCATATTCTTCAGACATCATCCTGAAGCTGGTAAACTAAAATTTTCTAAGCTGTAAATCTCTATTAAAAGACAGGCATGTAATTTTACTTTGTTATGCATTATTTGCCTATAACAGATTTTAAGATTTATTTGGAAGGAACATGGGTTTCTATCTTTCTCTGTGTATCTTCTTTTCCATGACAGATTTCCATAGATATTATCATTTAATATTGCTTAATATCCTTAGAGTTACAGGTGAAGGGAAGCGATTAGAAGTGAGGGATGTGACTAGATGATGTTTTTAATCAAAGCATTTCCATGAAGCTTCTTTAAAGAAGAGGGGGAAATGTGAAAACAAGTTATGTGTGTGTGTGTGTGTGTGTGTATAGAGAGTATTGCTCAAACTATGATTCTTTAACCAAGTGAAAAAGGTTAATATCACTGGGGATGTCATGTGGATATCACATACTCCTTTTATATAATGAGATGATAAGAGCAATTCCACTCTGTGGTCTTTTCCCTGAAAAACTCATAACTCCTGTCTAATCATGAGAAAAACTTCCAATTCACACAAATTGAAATTCACACAAATTGAGAGACATTGTACAGGATATCGAACCAGTACTCCTCAGAACTGTCAAAGTTAAGAAACAAAAACATGGACAGACTGACAAACTGTCAGAGATCAATTACTAAGGAGACATGATATTTAAATATAATGCAGTATCCTGGATTGGCTCCTAGAACAGAAAATGGACATTAATGGAAACCCCAGTGATATCTGAATAAAATCAAGAGCTTGGTTAATAGTAATATTCTGGTATTGATTTCTTAGTTTTAACAGATGGACCATGAAAACCTAAGAGGATAACATTAGCGGAAATTAAATTGGGGGACCAGTATACAGGGACTGTCTGTATTATCTTTATGAGTTTTCTGGAAATCTAAAATTATTTCAAAATTGTTTATTTATTTATTTTAAATAAAGTGTCGCATTCTGCCTCTCCTCTAGTATGAGGACTGAGACTGACCACCCTACACAAAACAACTGTAAACTCCAAAAACTACCCGAGGGTTATGGAGAATGAACAAAAGTTGGCAGATTTTGAAGAGGACTTAAAACTAGGAAGAAGGCACCAGTAGTGGGTGAATTTCCTGGTTTTATGGCTTCCCTATGAAGGGAAGAGGCAGTCACATCAAGGTGTAGGGCAACTCAAACTGACACAAGTTCTAATCTTCCTGAGATGAAGAACCAGAGTACATAGCCTAGGTCAACCACAGCTATTACAACATGAGGGGGGAAATTTCATAAAAGAAAATGTCAGAGAAGGGAAGCTGTAAATTCTGTGTATAGACACTGCCCAAGTCTCTGCTACCCCCCCATATGCTTAGGATAGACTTGCAGCTTAATGTTAACATCAAAAAAATTGTACTGAACTGCTCCCTACCACAGGTGGATTATATTTTGTAGTTTGAGCTAATCAAGTTAGTTGCTTGCTAAAGCAAAACATCAATACTCTTTTGCAAATAGAGCAAAATACAGTCTCCAAAACCAAACATTTGTAATGTTCAGAGTATAATCTAAAGTTTCCTGACATATAAAGAACAAGGAAAGAGAAGGGATAAATCAATAGTGACCTATTCTGAGTTACCCATATGTTAAATTACTAGAAAAGATCTTTAAAGCAGTTTTCATAAATATTCATGGTAGATAAAATGAAACTCCAATTGAAATTAATAGAAAGACAGGAAATATCAGTAAAGAAGTAGAAAATATTTTATGTGGCCAGACAGAAATTCTAGAATTAAAACTACAATATCTTAAATAAAAGATACTGGTCTTTTCTGCAGAATGGAAGTAAAACAGTAGCCAGTGAATTTGAAGATACATCAATACAAGTTTTCTAATCTGATGAAGAGAGGAAACAAAGTTTTTTTTTTTAAATGAGAAATGCATCAGGGACTTGTGGGAAAATATCAAAATGTATGCCATACATATAATTGGACTCTCAGAAAAAAGAAAGATGAAATGGGGCAGAAGAAATATTTGTGGTTATAATGTATATAAAAACCTCTCAAATTTGGTGAAAGACATAAATGTACAGATTGGAATAAGCTCAGATAACCCCAGACAGGATGAGATGGAAAAAATTGTACCTGGTCGTGTTATAGACAATTATTGTACATCAAAGATAAGAGAAAAATCTTAAAAGCAGACAGAGAAGAACAATGAGTTATAAATAAGAGAATGATGATTTGAATTATTGCAGATTTTCATTGCAAAATTTGAAGGTCAGGAGACAGTGGAGCATCTTTAAAGTGTTGAAAGCAACAACTTTCAACCTAGACTACAATAACCAGCAAAAACATTCCTAAATATGAAGGTGAAATAGATTATAAAAAAACAAAAACAAAACCTAAGAATTTACTGCCAACACACCTATTCTACAAAGAAAATGTTTCTCAGGAGAAAGTGAAATGATAATCAGAAGGAAGCTCAGATCTTTAGGAAGGGATGAAGACCATTGAAAAGGGTGTGTTATATCTTGGTAAATTTCAGGGAACTCTAGGTCATGATCAGTTTAAAATGCCATCAGGCTAGCAGCATAAGAGGCAATCTCTCCTACCCAGTTACTATAAAACTACTATATAACTATTTAAAAAAAAACCAAAAAAGTAAAAAACTAATAGTGTTGAAAACTAAGGCTGACAACTGCCATATTGAAGAGCTCTCAGGTGAGTTAAATTGGGGAGAGAGCAAGGAATCGATGTGAACTCTCCATGTCTTACTTCAGGAAACAGGACAGATAGTCATGTATCAAAAAAGGCCAAAAGGAATTTCATATCTGTGTCACTACATGTCTCTGATTTACAAACCTAGCATTTTTTTGTTTGTTTGTTTTTGAGACAGAGTCTCACTCTGTCGTCTAGGCTAGAGTGCCATTGTGTCAGCCTAGCTCACAGCAACCTCAAGCGATACTCTTGCCTCATCCTCCTTGAGTAGCTGGGACTACAGGCATGCACCACCACACCTGGCTAATTTTTTCTATTTTTAGTAGAGGCAGGATCTCACTTTTGCTCAAGCTGGTCTCAACTCCTGAGCTCAAGTATTCCTCCTGCCAGGACCTCTCCGAGTGTTAGGATTATAAGTGTGAGCCACCATGCCCCAGCCCAGAAACCTAGGATTTATATGTACCACAAAAAGAGGTGCTACACCTTGATTCTACAAATAATGGTATGATACAATGGGAACATTTTTGAAAACACACAGGAAGTACTTCAATCTGATGATGGTCTATCTACAAGAGTAATCAGAAGAATATTATTTTAACTTATGTACCTACTGTGAGTCTTAAATTACAAACTCAGGTGTGCCTGTTTATTTAGAGATCAAATTCATACCCCCCTTAAGCCTCCATTTTCCCAGGCTGGTATGAAATCAGATGTTCTTTACTGGAAATCCTGTTTTTTTAAGGCAGAATCAGAATACAAGAGACTTCTGAGATACTTCACTGCTGACATCATCTTTTTCTACACCCAGAGCTGTCTTTGTACCTCCAGAGATGTTCTGCTTCCTTGCCACATGCGGAAGGAAGATGTTCTTCCTTCCTTGCTGATTATAAAAACTCTGATGCCTGGGACTCATGCTCCCTAGTTGCTCCTTAGCACCATTTCTTCTGGGTTCTTTGTTTCCTTAGGACATCTTAACTGAGTGACATGGTTTCTGGTTCACTCTCAAGGATAGCAAACTTCTATGCCCTCCATAATTTGAATCTTCCAATGTGCCATGCCCTTTTTCTTTCTTTAATATACACTGCTTTCTCCTGAGTATTAGTAGTATATTTTTAATGGGTTTAGGTGTTTATAAAACTCAGAGGTAACCATTGACTTTGGAGCACTTCTGTTTTATTCCTGTAAACATGCCTGAGATTAATAACTATTAAAGAAATGGAGCCCTAGATTCTAGTATAGAGCAGGGGGAAGGGGCAAATATAAGAAGATTACACAGATCAATCTCTATAAATTAACCTGACACATTCCGTAATTTGTTTATTTTTTAAAGTAATATGTACTATATATTTAAACAACACTATACAACAATAAGAATGAAGGATATAAAACTACATGTGGTGATATTGATAAATTTAACAAACATCATGTTAAATGAAAGAAGCCAGACTCAAAATAGTATATACTATACGATTACATTTACATAAAGTACCCAAACAAGCAAAACAATTCTATGCTCTTGGAAGTTAGGGTAGTGGAAACTACTGGCTGAAAGGAACATCAGGTGACCTTCTAAAGTGATTACCTGTTTTATAATCTGGGTGGTGGTCATGCAGGTCTGCTCAATTTGTGAAAATTCTTTGAGCGGTACAGTACAGCTTTGCGAAGTTTTCTCTATACAAGTTATTTGTCAATTACTAAGAGTCCTAAAGTGGTAGTTTTCTTTAACTGCTTTGAAAAGGTTAATGTGTCTGAAGAAAATGTCTCATATATTTTCCACACAGGTTTTTGCTGAATAAATCCAAGATTTGACATAAACCTATAAAATTTGAACCTAAAAAATCTTTTTTAGAAAACATAGTAAGAAATGAAAGATGGAAGTTCCATGGTTAGTGGTAAAAAAGATGTAACATGTTTTCTGATGGCCAATCCTGAGAGATTGTTGATGGAGAAAATTGCTAAGCAACAAAGTCAGAAAGAAATTCCAAATATTTATGAAGTGTATTTTGTTGGAAAAAGACATAACTAGGGTTTCCAGTTTCTTTAAAGAGATTAGAAATATGGTTTTAAAAGCTTATAAGTGACAAGACCATATAGGAATAAAGTTAATTTTATTTCTAATTTATGAATTAAATGCAGCTGTGACATCAGCAAAAAATATTAATCAATAGTAATTTTGTTTCAAATGGATTGATCTTAATCAGGTTATAGTAATTGAGAATAAGATGTCTACAAACTCATTTACTAAATAATAATTCTGGTGTATTTATTTTAAAAAAATGTTTCTTTCCCTGACAAGAGTCTGGTTTCTGGGCCAAGTTATTTTATCCATATGCCAAATTTCTCCTTAGTCTGTTTAATCTAAATATTAAGCATACTTTCTATTTGTATGCTTTTCAAATGCTATAAAAACACTCTGAGTGAGATAATTTACAGATGTGGAAAGTCCAGGTGTTGAATTCCAAATCAAGTACTCTATCCACAATAAGAGCTACCACTTACTAGTATAATACCACTTGTAGAAAAGCAGCTGACTAGAAAAGGAGGTCTGTCTTGGATACATCCAAGGAAGTTTAATAAAACTACACCTACCTCTGTAATTTTTCCAAAAGGGCATTTTCACCATGGGATTCTGTAGAACAAAGTTATGTTGAGGTTGCATCTTACATGTGCAACTACATCAATAACAACAGGCTGTTCATGTTTTCATCTCGATTGACAATCTTAAATATTTTAGCATAAGTAGCGTATGCGATTTCTGTTTTCCATTTTCTTTGATTGCAGTTCTCCAGAACAAAAGGACACATGGCTGTCTCTCCTTCAGAGGTATTTTTTTCAGTATATGTATTTTTAATCTTTAACCTGCAATAAATGAATTAAAACCTTTTCTGGCACTGTCTGGGGGATAGACATGCTTGAAGCTCTGACTTGGGTGGGGCAAAGACAATATACATAACGTAAACATTTGTACCCCCATAATATACTGAAATTAAAAAAAATTTTTTAAATAAAAAACAATTTCTGCAGAGGTGTATCCCAAGTTATTTTTCTCTCCTTAGTAGAAATTGTTCATTTGTCCTGAAAATAAGCTGCTGTTCGGATTGTTCTCTATTTGCTATAAATAATGTTCTTTCATTACATGTAGTTCTTACTTTCTAGGAAGGAGAGCACTGAGGTCTAGTTAGATCATTTTATGCAGAAATTAGTCAATAATATCTTCCATCTCTTTCTGTTGTCTCCAGTTTACCAACTGGAGCTAACAGTTTCATCAAAGTATTTGTTAAGTTTCCATAAATGCAGAGTTTTCTGATGAGCACCTTGGAAATTGATTATTAACCCCACCATTGAGCATGCAGACTAAAATGATAGACTTAGCCTCCTTTACTAGACCCATAGTTCTTCCCTCCTTCCTCTGCTCTCCTCCTCCCCAAGCAGTGGGATAATGGAGATGTACACTCTACAGGAGAGCTAGATAAGAAGTAAAAGGTTGTTGCTTTGGTTTGGCCTTATAAAGTGTCTTCTATGCTCCTGTTCTTATCAGCAAGGTGCTAGACATGTCCAAAGAAGTCAGGGCAGTGTTAAAGATAAAACATTACCCAGAGGTGCCTTAACCTGCCTGTGCTCCTCAAACCTCACTTGACATGGAGGTCCCATTCTTATTTGTGCCCATGCCTAGTGTCCTGCCATGTTTTTTAATTCCCTTTCAACCCATAATGTAGTCCGGCTTTGCTGAATCTTCTCATATGTCTTTAAAAATAGCATATAAGTACATTGAAATTATTGGTGAAACAGACTGATTTAAAAAATAAGCCATCAGCAAAAACAGTGACTCAGTGTTTGCATTTGATTAGATACATTGATCTCGAGAAACAGAAGGACTATCTGAAGAGCATTCCCCTCAAAATATTCACCGAAGATATGGGGAATTGTGTCCATGTAAGTGTTTATAAGGAAGAAAATTAAATTCCATGTCCCTGCATTAAAGCAGAATACCATGGTTAAAAAGAGAGACTGACAGGCAGACAGATAGACTGTCTGTGCTGTGCAAGGTAGGCATTTAGAAATGCCATAGGGGGAAAGTGCATTTTCCTAGGTATATCTCTGTCTTTGTATATATGAAAAGTAAACCCTAGAGAAAATGAAGCAAGAGAAATTCATATTAACTATAATAATTGACATGTATGCTTGGAAAAAACACTGCTTATTAGATGTCTCTTTCCTCCCTCTGGCATGAATGTTTCTCTGAATATTGTTAGTAGCAGCTGCAGAGACTTGTAGTAAAGCCGTTTCCACAAAGAGGTATTTTCAATCATTATTAAACATTTTTTTTCCAAGTTATCACTTCTTAAGGAGAAAGTGGTTTTGAAAGTTTATGGATTGAATTTCTCAAGCTATGGGGAAAATCTGGGAAGGTTGACATTTTTAAGGGATCAGCATTTTTCTGCCTCATAGTTTTATCACATTGGTCATATAAACATTAAACCCAATTATTAGGTATGATTGGCTGGATGACTCATAGCACAAGAGCCAATATGTTATTGATGGTGAATAAGATGGAACCTTATGGATATTTTTGTGATACTATGGACTGCCATACTTCACAGCAGCTCTGCATCACACAGAATAGTTTTGTTTGTGGAAAAATATATAGTGCAAAATCGTTATGTTTTGACCAAAAGCAGAAATTATGGAAATATTCTGACAAACACCTGGATGCCAGATAATCACTGCTTGAGGGAAATATTCAAATTTTGAAACAAGAGAGATCTTTTGTAGCAAAGTAGGAGAAAACAAAATGAAACGTTGTTTCTGCCTGCTTTGATTCAGTTGTTGTGGCAGTTGGTTACATTTAGGATTTTCATGGAAAACTCTCTGAACTTTTTTAAGCACTTAATGTATGGAAAGTGTGTGTGCTTGAGAAAGGACTGATGTCCCACTCTCATTTTGGAAAAGATAAAAGATGTGGTCAGGTTGGGTGCTCTGTTTTGATCATTAGTATCCTGAGTAAGTCAAGGATGATGTGATACACTCTGTCCTTTGCTCTCTGAAGCAGATTTCGTGGCTAGAGTCTCTTTCCAGGAGCCCTGCTTCCAGAGTTAATCCCCCAAATAAGAGTGCAAGTATGGGAAGTATTATCTTTGTCCTTCAGTTCTGCACAACCTGTCAGTGAATTCTGCTAATATGCAACAAAATAGCCACATGTTCAGTTTTGTCTATTTATTTTGTTATTTGTTTATTAGCCAAAAAGCATTATCTGCTGAAATTCATTCATTTTATCTACCAGAAAGGCATGCAGGAAAAATACACTTAATAGAATTACAATTTTGAACATATGTGCCCAGTACTACAAAAATCATTATGTTAGAAACTAGGTAATTGGAAGAATAGATTCTTTACTTTACAAAAGATTCATGAGAGTGTTTCTTTAAATGCAAGTGTTTTTAAACTTAAAAAAAAAATGGTGAAACACTTATTGAAATTAAGTCTTAAGTTAAAGCCTAGTATGTAACCTGCCTCTGACACATTGGTAGAAGACAGACACAGGGTTGGGTGCTCCAAACCCTCCCTTGTTGGCCTCTGAGATAATTCTGCATAATCCCTGTGGCTCTAAGGAGTACAATTTGAAATTAATGCATTTAGAATACTTTTTTAAAAATTAAACTTCATTTAATAAACCACTTTTAGAGGCAATTTGTCATGTCAAGTAATTGTCTCATAGGGAAGAAATACTATTCATGGAAAGATAAGTGATAAATTATCAGTGGATTTCACTTAGCTTTATTTTTATATTTTTAAAAATATCATTGTCTTTCCATTTCTGCTACTTATTTGTGCATTTTAAGCCCTAACAAGGACACAGCCTGATAACTGAATTCTTATAATTATCATATATAAAACTTATATATAGCAAAAATATTTTTTTGATAACATAACATTGTTTTATATTTAAATAATATCCTTTGGAATTCAGCAACCTATATAGATATCTAAGAATCTTGCTAGCTCCTTTTCTGCTGCTTGCAAATGGTCTTTTTAAGTAGCAATTCTCACTGTGGTTTTACAGAAAGCTGTTACAGATAGATTATAGGAGATTCTATGTCAGAGTTGGTAATAGGATTGAGCTTTCTGAAATTTTCAGTTCTTTCTTCTAGACTTGTTTCTTTTAAATCTTGTAAAGATTTCAACAATGAAAATCTTAGTAGCCACAGTGTCTGACATGTAGAAAGTACTCAATAAGTAGTGGTTTTTCAAAATTCTAAGCTTTAAATGTTTATTGTAACTAATTATTATTCAGATTTTATCTAAACTGACTTTATACCATGCAAAGAAATAAAACCTTGTACTGTGAAAACAATACTGAGGGAAAAAATAGAGATTCAGCTTCTCCCTTCTTTTATTACCCATTAGGTTGTGGAAATACAATTATCGAAATGAGGCAGTTGACCAGCCTCAGTGATTCTTCTTCTTCTTTTATTTTTTTTTTTGCTTGATTAGGAGCTAGATTCCTGTACTCTCTCTCTCTCTGAAACATATTTAGTATATTTCTTACTTGCTTAATCTCTTATATTTTGGGCCCACACATCTTTTAGTTTAAGAGAAATTTTTTATTAAAAGGCATAATCTATAAGGGAATAAATATAAATTATAATCGTTTGTGTTCTACTTAAGTCTTGTGATTTATTCTTTCCGTAAGAAATAAGAAGTGTCTTTGGACAATCATTTGACAATAATTATTTCTTCACCTGATTTAAAAATCTTTACTTATAACTGTATTTCTTATTTCTTTTTTTCCTACAGTACAAAACTATCAGAGTAAACAACACAGATAGAACAAATGAAGTTATCCACAAGTTATTGTCAGTGCTAGGGGTAACTGTAAATTACTCTGCTAGATAATCTTAATTAAAAACAAATGTTGATAGTTTAAATTCATAGAAATATTATCCCTTTCATGCTAAGACAGCTTCTATCAGAGATACCAGTCATATTTTGTTCCCCAAAATGTAGAAATTAGGGACAATAAGCTTTAATATCAGCTTGATATATGGGTGCTGTTCTTCTACTCTTATTTTAAAACCGATGTTAACTGAAAACCATAATGACATTGGACTATAAATTAAAAATATAATTGCATTTTAATTATATATACTACATACCAATACAGAACATGTTTTGGTATAATATTCTTAATAAGAAAGTTTCAACCTCCTCTGTCCTTCCTACTTGACACTATTTGACTTCTCCTCCCCACCTAAATATCCTGTTATTATCCCAAGAGCCAATGAGTCTGAGAATGATGAATTCTCAAGGATGTGCCTGGTAGTAGAATTTTTACATAAAGTCACATTGGCTGGCTATAGGTCCTAGAAATGACATGGCTAGTACCTCTAATGAATTGGTAAATAAAAGCACAACTTTGAATTAGATCATGGATTTGAAGAGGTTTAGTGTGAACATCACACTCTTCCCTGTTTTGCTTTTAGCTTCTGTCCCTTTCTGTGATAGAGGTCAGTTTTGTTGAAATTTTAGTAGTGGAGAAGATTGGAATATTTTGAGGATGAGGTAGAGGAGAGAGAACCAGAAGGTTCTTCTCATTGCTTCCCTACCAGTTATATAAACACCATACAATGAGTATTTTAATTAAAGGGAGTGACTTTCAGAAGGATGGAAACTAAGCACTTTAAAAATACTATTCTTTGAATGAGATTCTCTATAAAGTAAGTACACTATTAGGATTATGTGCCATGATACATATTTAAGACATGTCATAATATTATTTATTATGTGTTTAGATTTGCTTGTACACAGTGCTGTAATGAACCCTTAAGAACTTAGGGCCACCAAAATTTCAAATAAGAAATCCAATTTCTTTATTGAATTTAGTAACATTTCAAATGTAATTAAGCATATATGCAGAGTAAAGCAGGCATGTCTGCATTGATTTCTAATCTATATGCATATATTTTGGAAGACAGTGATAGTAGTTTTAGGGGTAGGGAGATTAATGACATGATTCATTTTCTTATCTATGCCTTTCCTTTGGACAAAATGATCAAGCTGCTCACACAGCTGCCATCAAAAAATTATATTAATTAATAATTGAGGCTGTTTGGTTATTCCTGTTCTAAGGAATTATTATGATGTTTTCAAATACTACATAAAAACAAAAGATTTTTCTTAGGTTACTCTTCCTGTTTGCAATAAAATTTTGGCCAGGGGATGGGGCAAAGGTGAAGTGACAAACTGGGTGTTTGGGGGAGGGGAGTGGTTTGTATGGTATTCTTCATAGTCAGGACCCTCCATTATAATCATGGCAGGGCCATGATTTTTAATTAGAAGTTAAAGCCAAGGGTATGAAATATTGCCAATAAATTTATCTGTTCTAGCTTCATTTAAAAGATTTTTGTTTGATCCCTCCTAGGGCATTCAGCAAAATCTGTATAATTTAGTGATAAATCTTTCAAGTGGGATGTAGCGTGTAGCTAAGTTATAATTCTGCTAGTGAACAATTTTATTGTTGTCCCTGACTGGGCCTATTCTCTCGATAGATCTCTTGTCCTTTCTGTCCCCAAAAGTAGACTTACCCAAACTATCGCCAATGCAAACTATGCCAGCTACTTATCTCCTTAAAGCCTCTTGGTCATTCTTCTCCTGCTCAGAAGCAGCTGAGTTAATAATCAGCCTTTATCATTTGCCTTTTTAGTCATAGACACAGCAGTATTCGAGGCTTTCTGGATAAGAAGGTTGTCTTTGCAGGGGCATGTTGGAAGTTAAGTCCAATATTCTCTGAGAAGTCTGGAGATATAGCAAAAGTCTGGACTCTAAAGAAGAAATTAGCCTTGTAGAACCAGGGAGATTGTTCTTTGTAAAAGGGCCTATGATTTCAGATTCCATGGGCTACCTATCTAGTGAGGGCTGAGTCCATTGCAGTTTGTGGATCCCTAGCCCTCATTGGAAGGAAAAAGGCAGGATTCCTCAGTCCCCTATTGAGGAATGAGGAAAGGGAGATTGGTTGCAGGAATCAATACTTCCGTCTTAAAACACCATAACCACCCTCGTGAACCTGATTAGCATTTATAGTTTCTAGGATATTCCTTTTGCAAAGCATAAAAATGCCAAAAATTTGTCCTTATTCAGGTACCAGTTGTGAAACATTTATTGTGACCTTTAATCCTTTTATCTCCAAGGGTTGTGAGAGAGATTACCAGTTATGCATCAATTCTGGGAAAAAAGCAGTACTGTACCCACTAATTGGTAAGTTTTGCAAAAATTGAAGTAGCTTTGATTGTATTTTAATTATAATTCTAAGTGTGTCAGAATTGGCTATATGGTCCTAAGCTCTACTACTGTTAAATAATCTCATATGATATTCATTTAATAAATATATATCAAGTGTTTACTATGTACTAGGCAAATAATATCTCCTCATTCAAGCAGTTGATGGTATAGCTGAAGGGAGAAATGTAAATTTTCCTCTCTGCCTTTTCACTTTACCAAGCAAAACCTATCTTGCTAAAGTTTTGAAAAATTTGTCTGTAAGAAAGCAATACGTATTGGTATTCCTTTTTAATGTTTTTCACATTCCCTTTATACGTTTATTTTTCATATTCAATTCTTGAATTTCCTCCTTCCCTTCCCAACTACACGTTCCCTCTGTGGAAGACAATCTCCAATCCAGTCATGCATGTTAATCTACCAATGAGTATGCAACACTTGTTCTGTGCCCAAATGTGCCCAAATTTAGGCATCATAAAGAAAATGAGAATAACTCATTTGCTATTTCTCTAGCCAAATTTTCCAGCATTTGTTTTGAGCAATTATTGGTAACTAGGTTACATTAAACTTTATTTAAATCATTTATCTAAAAGTGTATTTCTTTTCTTTTTTTTAAATTTTTTTTCCGGCATATTATGGGGGTACAAATTTTAAGGTTTCAGTGAATGATCTCCCCTCCCAAGTCTGAGTTTTCAGCATGACCATCCCCCAGATGGTGCACATCTCACTCATTATGTATGTACATACCAGGCCCCCTCCCCCCTCCCACCTGCCCAATACCCTATTACTGTAGTACCTATGTGACCACTTAGGTGCTGCTCAGTTAATACCAGTTTGCTGGTGAGTATATGTGGTGCTTATTTTTCCATTCTTGGGATACTTCACTTAGTAGTATGGGTTCCAGCTCTAACCAGGAAAATATAAGATGTGCTATATCACCATTGTTTCTTAGAGCTGAATAGTACTCCATGGTATACATATACCACATTTTATTAATCCATTCTTGGATTGATGAGCATTTGGGCTGTTTCCACAGCCTTGCAATTATAAATTGTGCTGCTATAAACATTTGGGTGCAGGTGTCTTTTTTGTAGAGTGTCATTGGATCTTTTGAGTAAATGCCCAGCAATGGGATTGCTGGATCAAATGGTAGATCCACTTGTATCGCTTTAAGGTATCTCCGTATTGCTTTCCACAGAGGTTGAACTAGTTTGGAGTCCCACCAGCAGTGTAGGAGTGTTCCTCTCTCTCCGCATCCATGCCAGCATTTATTGTTTGGAGACTTTTTTTTTTTTTTTAAATTTTTTTTTATTTTGGCATATTATGGGGGTACAGATTTTAAGGTTTCAATAAATGCCCATTTCCCC